CAATGTGTGTATATAAATACATACCCTGCGATAGAAAGAAAGGGGAAGAAAAGAAAAAAATAGAGAGGGATACTTTAAAATAATAGAGATAGAAAGAGTGGGAGGAAAATAAGTTCTCACGTTATAGAGACTCTGCCAACAGAGACTACCAAGTAAGAACTAGGGGAGTACTAAAATCTGCAAAAGATATGTCACCTCTACACCCTTCTTTTTCTCTTTTTATTGTACTTTGAAGCTTTTTTTTAAAGTATTATTTTTTTTACTACACACGAATAACGTATTAAAAAAAATACAAAATCTTTAAAACCAACAAAAATGTCAATCTTGTTAAACCAAATCCTTGTCGGGTTTACTGTTTCAAAAATCTAAACAATCCATAATAATTTTCAAACAAAGTCACAAACATTTTTCTAGATAAAGAACTACGTGATCCCTGATTGTCCATCATAAATGGATATACGTAGGATCAAGGTCAATCCTTGTCTGGTTCATAAAACAAAAAATATATTTTTGTTTTTTTTTAAAATAGTTTTTTTTAATAGAGTCTTGATATTATTTTTTTTAGGGAAAATTAAATATTTTGAAAAACCACATCAACTTTATACATTTAATTAAAGGTACTGCTTTTTGGGCAGGCACGATAGGGTGCTAATATCTTCCTTATGCATAACCGATTCCCAAACCTAAAATCTAGTTTTCGTGGACAATGCCTTATTTTATGGTTTTCCATAGTTTTTCCAGAATAAATTATGGTGGCGACTCCCAAAATCTTTTCTAAAACCAGTTTGTTTTCGGTTCGTTGTCCCATCACGACCCCAGTTACGACACATATCACTGTGTTAAATATGTGATTTTATATGTGTATGCATGACATATGTTTTTGAAAAAGGAAAACCACATGCACTTTAGTTGAACTTTAAATATGTGGCAAAACAACAGTTTTATTATGGGGTGAATCGATTAAAACTCGTGCGTTTGTACATAATCTTTTCAAGTGTGCTGTGAGATTTTTCAAGAAGAAAAGTTTTCAAAATTGTGTTAAGTAGTGTTGCTTAATTGATTTCATGTGATTTATATTCGACTAAGTTGGTTGATGTTTTGAAAAACTGTTAAATGCTTGTCACAACTAACATACTGGTCATATTTTTAATTATGTTGACCAAGCATTAAATGATAGTCGATTGTATTAATTGTACATTCAATTAATTGTACATTAAACTGTTATAATTGAATGGTGTATTCGATTACGTTAGTAGAAAAGTCGATTAAAATATGTCTGATATGTGTTTAACTATAAATTGACGCTGATTTGAATTCTGTAAGAACTTTTGTGATTCTAACACTTTCATATTCTTTACAGAACTATGTTTGATCTTACAGAGAAGGGAAAAGCACCAAGAATCAAGATTGACCATAGTGATCAAGGATTCTGAGATTTGTTGAGGAGCAAGACTTGGTGCCTTTCAAACGTCTGATCAATTTGCACCTTTTGGGTGTTTACTGTGTGATCAAGATTTGCAATCTTTTGAAGATTGGCTTCGTTTCCTTGTTGTGATTATAGGAAGAAGAATGGTTGTATTCTTGACTTTGAGGGTGCCTCAAAGGGTTAGACAACAGAAGAGGGTGTTCTTGTTGTTGGTCTTGTCGTTTACTGCCTATATTAGATTAGAGGGTTAGAGAGGTGTTTTATATTTTTGACGTGAGGTCTCTATAAAAACTTTGTTGTAAAAACCCCATCTTTATAGTGCATTTGCTTCCTGTGGTTTGAAGGGCACTGGATGTAGGCTTGGTCGAACCAGTATAAAAACACAGTGTTTGAATTTTCTGATCCCTACTCTCTTTTATTCATCTGATTAAGTTCTTTGCATATTTGATTAAGTTTTAACTGCATTGCTAATCATTTATCTTATGATTCAAGAAAAGTGTAAAGGCATCACATTTTGTGAAAAAGATTTCAAAAGCTTTTGTTTTTACACGTCACCGATTCACACCCCCCCCCCCTCTTGGTGTGAGAACTTGAGCTATTCTATTTTAACACCTTCTATGACAATTATGTTGTTGTTTGTGAACCGCACATTGTTCTTTAAATGTGGATTTATATGAATCAGCCAATCACGGTTTCCTATCATATGGTTGGAACACCCTGTATGAAGATACTAAGTTGTGCTGCTATCATCATTTTTGTTGGTGGTCACCATTAACAGAACCTAATCAAAATCAAATGCATCCTCATCTTGCACCAAGTTGACTTCTTCATCTTTGTTCACTTTCTTGTTGTTATTTCCTTGTCAACACTCATATGCATAGTGGCCAAACTTATCATAGTTGTAGCATTATATATTCTTCTTATAATATTATGAAGTTAGAGAAGACAATGTTATGGATATGCTTACTGGTAGACAAACACAAAAAAAAAATATATTTCTTTTCTCCAGGCTTGTTGATCATGAAGCCTTTCTTGACAATTTAGTCTTAGACAACATTGAATTGTTCCAGTTTTCCTTTTTGGATTATCAATGAATAAATGCATGATCCAAATAGCTAAACATGTTTAATATGATCCTAATCAAAGACTAAAACAAAGAATATATCAAAAAAACTAATGAAGAATAAAATTCCTAATTCTACCTACTCTAGGTAGCCTAAAATGTGTTTAATGAGACAAAACTTGTAAAATGCATGGAGTAGGATAATTGGGGTTTAGACATGATTGACATCATTAAAATAAGATCATAAAATGCTCAACGCAGTATTCGAATGAGAGAAACTCAAAATCATTGGTGATACCAAAGTTGAGAATAAACTAGTCAAAAATAGTGTTAACATCAAATGAGTTTTCTCCTAAATTTAAATTTTGATGCAATAGAGGTTATCTTTGGAAGATTTTATGATTTTTAAATGTTTAATATGATTGTAATTGGATGCTAAAATTAAAAATTGGATAGAATGTGCAGTAAATAAGAAATTCCTAACTTTATAGATGCATCGTCCATACCGTCTACTGATATTCCGACACCATCTGCTGATCCTGATTCAGTTGGTGATGGTGTTAACCCCCCTCTCCATGAGGGTAATAACCAATAACTTTTCTAACTAATTTCTATGACATGACTTGTTTAAGTTTGCCTTAATCCAAATGACTTTGATTTCTTTATATTTTTTTTTCATCTAGAGTTGCTTCTCAAGCGATCACAAGTTCAATTAAGCAACAATTTTTGAAGCCTTGGCCAACATGGGCAGCAATACCTCCAAAAGACAAAGACCCATTTTGGTAGTGATATAAGGTGAAAGTCCAAACTAATTTTCATTTCCTATTAATGTATGTTAATTCAAATGCAAAATATAGTACATCAACATCATTTATGTATGATTTATTGTCACATATGAAGGTTCAGTGGATCCGTAAACATGAAAGTCAGATTCATAGAAATTTCCACACTAAAGCATCTTATAGGCTATCAGATATGCTTAGAGATGCACGCAATGATAGAGAACACCTTTACTAGATTGGAAAGCACATCTAGAACTCATTGATGAAACATTGGAATTCTCCAATTTATCGCAATAAATATGCTACTGCCCAGAGAAATAGAGCTTCAGAAAAGGATGGGACCCTACATACAAGTGGATCAATGATTGTTCATAAACATGTCATTCGTATGGTAAACCTTTTATCCTTTAGTATCCATTACATATAAGTTATGTATTTTTAATTTTATGTACATATATAACTGCATATTTTGTTACAAGAACAATAACTTGGATGGGTTGTCCATGTTGATGAGGTTTTTAAACAAAATCTTTAGAAGGGATTTGGTCAGTTCATTGATAAAAGGTCTCTAAGGATCCATGTAAGCAAACACTTTTAATATTAATTGCTTTAAACTTTAAAGTTATTATAACATTTACTAACTTTATGCATAATGTTAAACACAAAGAATTTTCAAGTAGACTTTCACAAGTCAGATCCAAGCATAGGTCATGTCCTAATGCATAAGAAGAGAATAATGATAGCAATGATAAGTTTAGGACACAGTGTTGGGTCAATTTCGTTGGTAGGAAGAAAAAAGAACGAATCTACTGGACAAGACAACTTGCTACAAATTATACGGTGGGAAGAAGTAGTCTCAAGCACCAACCATCTTCTTCCACCAGTGTTGACGACAATGTTTTCCAACTCATGTAATGACTAGAAAGACGTGACCAAAAATACAATGATTTGAGGCAAAAGTTTGCCAATTTCAAACAACTGGTCTTGAGATTGTTGTCTGAGTCTTCACAACCTCACTTCATTGTCTCTCCGGTCCAACTATGACCCTCCCCATCACATTCCATCCCAGGCTACCCTACATGATTCTTATGTTTTATAAATATATAATTTGTTTGAACATGTTTGGTTGGATTGTTTGTTATTGTTCTTAATATTGAACAAGAACATTGAACTTATATTTTATATTTGGATATTTTTTATTATTACAGATTTGATTGTCTCATTGTGCGTTGGATATTTGTCAAAATATAGTTATCGATAGTTAAATTACAGACGGAATATTGATCGTTGGTAATCCATCAAAAATTGTATATTACTGATAGAATTTGGTTGTTTTCGACGAATTTTGTTTGTCGATAAATCTTGTTTTTTTATAGTAAAATCTTAATATATATATATATATATATATATATATATATATATAGCATTACATTTTCTTAATATTTTATTTTAAAAAACACAATCATGAAAAGAACAAAAATACTTCAAAAAAATAAGGACGGGTTAATAAAGTTTTGGTTTAAACCCTCCCTTAGTCCTCAAGTTTGTATGAAAATCTCATTTGGGTCCTCAAGTTTTTTTTTGTCTCAATTGGGTCATATTTTTTGTAAAAGTGAGCACATTGTACCATAACCGTTAAGTGGTGTGAGACGGCGTTAAATTCATGTGAGTTGGATTTTTCCATTTACGGACGTGGCATTGTGCATTAAAATTGACTGTTTGTTGTGTTTTATCCACGTAGGCTACGAAGCCCTTCGTGTTGGAGAGGATCGTTGCATGCCTTCAACAAAGAAGTTAAGTACTTTACGTTCTTCACATTTTTCTTTAATAAAGTCCAAGGTTTCAATGGCTCTTCCTCAATCAATGCCTCTGCATTTTTAACCATTTCACGTTTATACCCAGGAATAGAGCACTTATTCCCGAAATTGCTACTATCTACACTTTCCATTTCGAAATTAAGGTTTTCCTTTTTCTTCTTCAACAAGATTTCAAGAACCAGAGAGGATTCAACACCGTTGATTTCTCGAGTTCTGATCAATTCACAGCATTTAAACAATTCAAGCAAAGAATCGAAGCTGTAAGCGTCTCTCACTGCCGCGTNTCCGACGGAGTCGACGATGCCGACCTCTTTTAGAGCGAGGACGTCCTCGCCCGCGGGCGTGTCGATGCAGAGGGCGCGGGAGTTCGGGGAGAGGAAGCCGTCTGCAATGAGGTCCTGGAAAATGGCGGCGTAGTACTCGACGGAACGGCGCCAGTTCTTGCCGGTAAACGGATCTCCGGCGTCAGAGGAGGGGGAGGGGGAGGACAGAGTGAGGTTTTCGGAGAAGAAGCAGAAATCGGCGGATTCGCAGGACCCGCCGCGGACGGTGACGATGATGGCGAATCGCGTGGCGAGGATGAGAACGGCGAAGGAGAATAGACGAACCAGAATGTTCCGCAAGGAGCCGTGTTTCGCTGCGGGTGGCTCCATGGACTGGTTCGGTGTAACCTCAAGGAAGAAGAAGAAAAGAATACTATGAGAGAAAGGGGTAGGATTTGAAATTTGAGCCTGGTTTGAAGGGTAAAACGGGAATGCGCAAGTTTCATTTGGATAAAACACAACAAACAGTCAATTTTAATGCACAATGTCACGTCTGTAAATGTAAAAATCCAGCTCACATTAATTTAACGTCGTCTCACACCACTTAACGGTTATGGTACAATGTGCTCACTTTTACAAAAAATATGACCCAATTGAGACAGAAAAAAACTTGAGGACCCAAATGAGATTTTCATACAAACTTGAGGATCAAGGGAGGGTTTAAACCTAAAGTTTTACAAAAATATAATAGACTTCATTATTTATTCTACTACTACTATAAGTCTTTATTGGTTATTCTCTTGTACTAACATTGTTGTTTGTTCCTATCATTGCATCATTGTAGAAAAGACATTAAACAAACTCAAAGAAAAAAATGGCAAAAATAAACTAATGCATTCAAAAGAAGAAACTCAATGTAAAAACAATAATAACTTATTATAAAGACTATCAAAATATATTTCTGATATAAAATCAATTATTAGTTTAGTCTTTCTTAGTTTTTCTTTATTATCAATACACTACGTGAAAAGCGTACAATCTCTATCAAAATCAACATTATTATGTTCTTATTCCAATTCAAACCATCTCACTATAGCCCTTAAAGCTTAAACAAAATCTCAAGCTATTTCATTCAATAAACATTCTTAATAAAAAAAATCAGCCTAAAAACACAAAATAAGATAATCATATTCATAAAAAAAAGAACAATTATCCAACTAATGTAGTGAATAGACTTATGAAATTAGAAGTGTTAAAACAGGTCAAGCCTTACAGACTGACCCACAAAAATAAGATAATCATATTACATTTTTTAATCCATTAACCCCTATCAACTCGCCCTACCTTGCCCACCAGCCTATCGGGCCACAAGATCAGCCAATGCATCATAACCCGTAACCTTTTGATTTTTCACTTTCACAAGTTTGTTCCCTTTCTTTCTTCATTCAACCACACAACACAAACCTACACCACATGCGACTTGACATAGAGAGAACAAAACGCAAGACAGAAAAGAACGAAACCCACAAGCGACTCTCCTCAACGATGTCTCCCTTAGATGCAACTCCAACAATTTTCCTCATCGACAACAACACCCATGACAATGACCATACCTACAAGTTCATCTTTTAATCTTCTGTTTTGCTTCTTTAAAACAATTATTAGTGGACCAATGTTGGTTATGATCTTGGAGAAGGGTAATGCTATTGTTGATTGGTGTGCTTTAACGAGTCCTACTAATGCAAGCAAGGCTAACATTAGTCATGCTCTTAGGTTATACAATGTTACCAATCTTATAGCAACACAAATGTGATTTTTATAAGTAGTTCAGTTTTTTGTCAAGTTGAACCCTTCTGATACTGCAGAGGAGTTTTATTAAGCTTAATGAACATGTTATATGTTAATTTGCTCTATAGTAAACATAATTTTGCTCTATTATCACAATTTCATAATAACGTTTTCTTCACATTGGACTCATAATTGATACATGTCATACACTATCAGTGACAGGAATTTGGCACACCATTATGTCCAACTTTGGTTGCAAACATAAACATTGAGGTTTTGGTTAAGTTTGGACAAAGTGCATTCAAATATATGCAGTTGCAAATGCACAGAGAACACAAAAATCCACCCTTCATAATGTAAGACACAAGAAAATATTTAAAGGAAATAAAATAAATAATAGATAGTTATATGTATTTAAATTATTAGTATTATATTAAAATATTTTGATTATGGATGGCAAAACACTCGTGTCCACGGGTATTCGCAGATAAAATTCATGACGGATAATTAGTACCGATAGGTATTTATTACTCACGGATAGCGAGTAACAGATATTTTAGTACCCACTTATAAACGGGTCAGATGTGGATATTATACTATTTGTGTCTGTGGGTATCTACTACCCACAAAAAATAAAAATTTAATTTATATTTTATTAAGTTATATTTAATTAAAATTAAAATTAATTTATATTTTATCAAGTTAAATTTTATTAAATTAAATTTTAATTTATATTTAATTTAATTTATATTATATTTTATATATTTTTTGTAATTTTATTAAAATTTTATTTTAAAAATTTATAAAATATATATATTATTAAATATTCGCGGGTATCCATGGGTATACGCATGTTTTAAAATAGTCACATATATTTTTTAGACGGGTGTCCGCACGGGTAGCGGCCGGGTAGCAGATGGATTTTTTGTTGTAAGTTGAGTAACGGAAAGACATTATTCATATCCGACCCGATCCATTGTCATGCCTAGCTATGATAGCCTCCTTGGTTAGAAGAATTGTGTTTGATGATGAGATCTTCGGCTGAAGTCTTACCTACAATACTAAATCTTATAAAATGGTTAGACAAAGAGATGTATTAGCTCTGATTGTAGGAACTTGTCATTATAGGAAAGTCATAGATTCAAAAAGAGAATATTTATGTCAGGTATTTTACGAGAAATTATTTTTAAAACATTTTGGAAGCCTAATTTGACTAACCACGTGGAGTTGAGAGGGAGGCAGAAATGTGAGAGGGACTATTTTAGTTTTTATCTTATGCCCATTTTTTTAGTAGTTTTATTTAGATTAAATTATATATTTGTGTTTTGTTGGATAATGTTTATTATTTTCTAGGTGATATTCTTTTATATTCATGTTGGGATGGGACAAAGCTAAAGTTATTTTAGCAAATACGGTTGTTGTTTCTTTTATTTACGTGTCTACTTATTTATTAAAGATAAATAATATATGTATTTGTATGTTGTTATGAAATTATTTTTGTAGTTATTCTGTTTTGTTCAATTTAAATAATAATATAGATTTTGTATAGTTAGTTTTAGTTGATTTGTGGTTTGTATTTTTATTGCAAGAACTCTGAAACACCCTTCTCATATTCTTCACTAAGACGTTCATTCATCCAGCTTCGATCCATACTATGCTTGTAAAATCATTCATCATTTTCAGTTTTTTAACTATCATAAGGTTAGGCCCTACCCATTTAAAAAAATTATTTTTCAAAATTTGATAAGACACATGCAAAGAAGTCTACATCATAAATTTGATAAGATTTCGGCAGCTTTTTGCATTGGTCTCCTATATACACGAAATTAGAGTAGTCAATGATGACCACAATCATATATGCATCCGGAGAACAATACAAATATTGAACCGAAATTTTATCAATCTTATCCATAAACTCCAACGTACATGTTATAGCAAATGATGAAAAATAATTTTCCCAAACTGTCCAATCGGACAATTCAAAATTTAATACAAACGATTAAAAGATTAATCGTTTGTGTTAAATTTCAAACGGGAACTAAGTTTCACTCCATGATTTGATACCTATAATCTAACATGCCAATTATAATAACACAATTATCACATGCATAAACCAATAACACATGCATACCTAAAAGTAAAAAACATGCATACGCAAAAGCCAATAACATGCATACACAAAAACCAATAACATGCATACAAAAAAGTTATCAACAAAGAAACTAACCTTTTTAGCAGATTAAAAAAGCAATGCAGGGAAATGGAGTAATGCAGGCCCAAAAATGTATGCCAAAAAGAGTCAAAAGCGTCGTCCAAGTACAAGTCAGAAACTGCATCAAAACGTAATTAAAACGAATTTTAATCGGTTCAAATGGAAGATATTTCATCAAAGAGTAATTTAATCAGAGTAAAAATAAATTTAAATGGTCCAAAAGAGAGGAAACGCACCTGGAAATGCAATGTCTTAGAGAGAAAACGCGAGGAAGACGATGAACAGTGAGCGTAACTCCTCACGGGTTCGCGTTGCAGTATATTAGGCTCTAGACGTTGGGTGCTTGGGGGGTCTGACGTCTATAATAGTATAGACGTCGGGACCCTAACTAATATGACGTCTTTCTGATTTAAAAATTCATATTCACGGGGATTATGGGCGTCGGTTTAGAGGGGCCCCGACGTCTAGGTGAACGTTTCACCTACCCTATCAGCCATCTAGACGTTCGTTAGGAGGGGCCCTGACGTCTATAATATTGTAGACGTCGGGGCCCTCCTAACGGGCGTCTAGATGGCTGAAAAAATAACTTCTCACCTACCCTGTCAACCATATAGACGTCCGTTAGGAGGGGCCCAATGTCTATAATATTATAGACGTCGGGGTCCCTCCTAACGAACGTCTATATGCCCACTTATTTACGAAAATGCCACTAGTCAATAATTACGTTAGTTGTTTGGTGGACCGACATTACGGGATGACGTTAAAGACTAATTATGCACTAGAGATATCAACATTATAATATTTCTTTCACAAATTCACACATTAAATAACCTAGCAATTTTCAAATCATATCTTTCGGCTATCAATCTCCACATATCCCATCAAAATTAACCCTAAAAGTCAAAAACTATCTCTGGACAGTTCAAGAAAATTATCATATCAAATAAATTTACTCAAGAGTTAAAACTTTAAATATTTAACTTCCATTACCTTAAAGAAATGTGAACTTACTTATTAGATGAAATTACTTATATATGAAATTGATCAATGATCTTAGATCTTCAAGAAAAAATAGAATGAGATCAAATTTTGAGAAAAAAAAAAGGGAATGAAAAGAATAACCTTAAGTTTTAGAAAGAAGAAAAAGAGTTTTAGAAAAAAAAAAAAGCCATTTAGGATTCTCACAATTTTTAAATAATAAGAGTGACATTATAAAAGAAAAATTAGTAAAAAATAAATAATATTCTAATATTTATTTAAAACAACAGAATGTACAATTATTTTTACAATAAAACTTTAAAATATTATATTAAAAATAAATTAAACAATATTATTTAAACTTCTAAATAAAAATAATTGATGTGTATATGAATTAGTTAATATATTTATA